TTGGATCTGCTCTCGTCATCCTATTCAAGTTGCCAGTATCCAGATATCAGGTTGTTGAACCATTGGCAATTTCTAATGCATTCAGAAATTCATTCAACACAAGTCACTGCATTTACCTCTCTAAAGTTCACACAAAGTTTTAGCATACTGACAGTCACAAATTGAGAGGACCATACACTCTGTGAAAGTTGTATAATTCTATCCTTTAAGACTTACTTTATTTCGTCACTGGCTACATCGCTAGAGCTCCAAAGTAGCTTACATAGAGGTTGTTTAATCGCACATGTATTACATGTAATAGCAAGTTATGCATTATCTTGTTCGGCCCAATCGGCCATCTGGTCCCACAAATATAATACATCAGCATAGGTATGTAAACATCAAATCGTTGAGTTTTTGTTGCTGTGTTGAATCCAGAATTTTAGCACAATAATCGACTAACGACCTTGTTGGTATTAAATTAGGGGTTTCTTGGGCAGTGACTTGTGGGAGACAAAAGATAGATCTGAAACTTTATTTTTACATATCTTCGATCTATAATCGGAAATTGGCAAATTAAAAGAAATGGAGACACCTGCAGTTTATGCGATTTTGATCATAAACGTTAATCTAATGTAAAAAAAAATGTAGTTAGAAAATTATATCTCAATATCCAAATAGTCTAATGAACAGGAAAGACTTTAAAAAATGTTCTGGTTTTATCTGTGTGTTACGTCTCCGTTTGTTAATTAACTTTCCGTAACTTTGTTCCAACGAAACTTTAACGACACAAGTCTTTACTTAATAAAACTGGTTTATTATTTCCGAATACAACTTTACCGATACACTTAATCTCAATACTCGCGCTAAAACAACACTGTAACGAACGAACGTTAACTTCAACAATACGCTGTGACTGCAGTTCAATTACTCAATATCTACACCTTCCCGCGTCACGTTGTCCCTTCCTATATATATACCAGCGTAACCTATTTCTAGTAAGAACTTGAACATTCGACAAAGTACATGATAGTTCTAGAACCGTTGCGTCACAGTGTCATGTGACTGCTGACGCAACACTGCCCCCTCCTTAATATTGTTCGTCCCGAACAATAACCACATATGATAAACCAATAACAATTACTTAATTAAAATGTACAGAATTACAAACACAAAATTACAATTCAACAAAGTCTCTTAATTTTACAGGACGTATCTTCTTCCATACTGGTCTCCGTCTTGTTGGATTCTG